CCCAGCACTCCAGACAGGGACTCGTGCATGTCCCTCTGCCCCCGCCCAGCACTCCAGACAGGGACTCGTGCATGTTCCTCTGCCAGCGCCCCAGCACTCCAGACAGGGACTCGTCCATGTCCCTCTGCCCCTGCCCAGCACTCCAGACAGGGACTCGTCCATGTTCCTCCTGCCCCCTCCCCCCCAGCACTCCAGACAGGGACTCCTGCATGTCCCTCTGCCAGCGCCCCAGGCTGAGGCTCTGCAATCGGGGACCAGGCATCCCGGTCCAGCTGTCTCCCCTCCAGGCCACCCCAAGCTCCAGGAGACCAGGAGGGCAGTCCCCAGCCGCACCATGGGGACCTGGCATCTCCACGGGCTAAGAGACGTGCTGTGGGGCCGGCCGGGGCCTGAGCGGGATCCCAGCTCCCGTCGTCACCCAGGACCTGTCCACGAGGGGCCGCTCTCCTCCTGCCGCAGGTCCCTCACCTGTGCCGTGGGCCGCAGCCACCTCCCCGACCCTGCGGGCTGAAGCCGCCCGCTTCTGCGAACCGCTCAGAGCCGCGTGGGCCTGGGCGGTCATTTTTAATTTGTCCCAAATGAAATGAGAGAACACTGAGCCGTGGTCTAGTGTCCCACCAACAGACCCTTCCATCACCCGTCACACTCCTCACCTGCTAACGCCCACGGCTCCTGATCACCCTGAAAACCAAGTCCTCGGCACTGAGTGGGGCATTGACCCCCCAGAGCCCATCTGGGGCCAGGCACGTCCCCCCTGCACAGGGCCTGGTGGGTCCCCTCTCAGGTGCTGGGACTCAGGGGACTTGCTCACTCGGCCAACGGCAGACAGGTGTGGACCAGGCTGAGACCTGAACCCCCAGCACAGGTCAGGCCCGTGAGCGGTCACACGGCCACACCCTGTGAAGCCCGTCCACACCCGCGCCACCCTGATCTCGAGACGGGGGCTCCCTCCTGGCTCTGGGGCCTGGAGAGTCAGGGCCCACAGAGGCTGCCCCGCCAGCTCCCCCGTCCCTGGACACAGGGGCTGATGACCACAGGCTCAGCTCACTGCTGCCTGGTGATGAGACCCCCAGAGAGAGTGGGGGATAGGGCTCCATCCTGCCCGCCAGCCACAGGCCCAAAGGCTGGGATGAGAACTCACCCCAAAGCCCAGCGAGACGCCTCACAAAGTGAACTCTTGGTGTCATCATCACCATTAGTACTAGCAATATTGTCCCTGTCCCCAGAGCCATGGAAGTAGAAAGTGTTCACGAAAGAAGTCAGTGTGCTCACGTCCATGTGCTCACAGGGGTCTGTGTGTGTGTGCGTGTGCGTGCGTGCGCACTGGTGGCAGGAAACTTGGGTGAGATAATAACCCATAATCCACACTAAGGGGGACAATGGTAATTCAAATAATAAAAGCTGACACCTGCCAGGCGCGGTGGCACACGCCTGTGATCCCTGCAGCCCGGGAGGCTGAGGCAGGAGGATGACAAGTTTAAAGCCAGACTCGGGAACTTAGGGAGGCCCTAAGCAACTCCGCGAAACCCTGTCTCTAAATAAAACACAAAATAAAAAAGGCTGGGGTGTGGCTCCTGGTCAGGCACCTCTGCGTTCCACCCCTCCGGGGCTCAGTGTGCCGCCCTGTGGCTGTCCCCTCCCCACCCCCACAGCAAACCCCAGGAGGCCGACCCAGGTGGGGTCCTTCCTTCAGGTGGGAGACTGAGACTCAGGGAGAGGACACGGTGACCCAAGGCCCCAGCGCACCAGCGGCAGAGCGGGGTCCCACCCACTTAATGGGCTCATCCTGAGATTCGGGAAGGGGCAGCGGAGGGGAGGGCCGTTCCGCCTCGTCCCTGGAGCCCCCTCCCCAGGAAGGCAGAAGGGGGCGTCCCATCCCTGCCAAGGATGACCACAGGGACCTGGTGGGCTGGCCCAGGGTCACCTTGGAGGCCCCCTGGGGCCTGGGGCCTTGGCCACAGTGGGGGCTGCCATGCCCCAGGTGACTGTGACCCACAGCGGCTGGGCCCCGAGCAGATCCCGGGGAGGACACGCGGCCTGGCTGGCCTTCCTGGCTCTGTCTCCTGGTCGCCGCGTCTCAGGTGGCCTGGGCCTGGCCTGGGCCCGGCTGGACCCTGAGGTCTCAGAGCCGGGGCAGTGGTCCCCAGGGCTGAAGCGTCCAGGCTGTTGCGAGGCCAGCCACCCTGCCTCCAGCTGCGGGGGCCTTGGGCAGCCCCTTCGCCTCTCTGGGCCTCCACTCTCTTTGGATCTTGTGTCGCTGAGACTCTGACTCGGGCCTCCCCCCGGCTCCCGGAGGCACGGCTCCGGCCCGTCACTCACCCCGTGCGCCGGGTACGTGAGCCAGCCCCAGTCCCCGTGGATGGTCGACGTGTCCAGCAAGTTCACTGTAAAACAGGAGACGGGAGGCGTCAGGTCCCTGTGGCCCTCCTCCCAGCCCCCGGCCCAGGCCCCCTCCCCCAAGGCCTCCTGCAGAAAGCCACCTGCCAAACTCCGGGTGCCCCAGGGGCCAGGGATCCTGGCTGGTGGCTGGGCTGGTGGCTGGAGGCCAGCCTCGGAGCCTGGGAGCCTCGGGGAAGGCCCTCCTCCTTCAAGGTTCAGCCTCCTCCAAGGCTCGGCCTCGTCCGGTTAAATGGGGTGGCGGTGGCGCCTGTCTCACGGGGCGTTGGTGAGGATGGCCCCACACAGGGTCACGGTGGCACCAAGCCATCCCTCCGTGAAGTCAGACCTCCCTGTGGGGGACGGGCCCCAGCTTCACGATCACCAGTGTCCCCCAGGAAGGGCCTGGCATCTCCCGCGCCCCTGAGCACAGTGATGGGGGGACCTAAAAGAGGAGGCGCAGCTCTCCGTGTGCACCTACTGTGTGCCGACTCCGTGAGGGGAGCTGTGGGCCCGTGCGAGACCTGGCGGAGGAGGCCTGTGCTTTTCATCTCACGGAGGAGACGTCCGACCCAGGACCTGGCCCAGGCCCCCAGGGGCGGGGGTGGCCGCCAGAACCTCTCCTCGCCCACCCCACCCCACCCCTGGGAGCCGCCAGAGGGAGCCCCAGTGTGGACGGAGCTCAGACCCAAAGGGCAGGCCCGTTCTCAGGCCCTGTGTCCAGCGGACAGTTCAACAAGGGAAAGGGCCCACCTCTGGGCTCTTGTGACAACCCAGCCACTTATTGGCAAGTAGCCTTCCCCCTTTCACCCTCGATTTCCTCCTCTGTAAAATGGGTTAATAATGCCCAAGGGGTCAGAAGAGTGTTAAGAAGCCACCTGTAGCTGGGCCTGGTGGCACATGCCTGAAATCCCAGCGGCCCAGGAGGCTGTGGCAGGAGGATCACAAGTTCCAGGCAGCCTCTAACTTAGGAGCCTCTAAGCAACTTAGCGAGACCCTGTCGCAAAATAAAAAATCAAAAGGGCAGGGCCGGGGTGGTAGAGCGCTTGCCTAGCCTGAGTGAGGCACTGGGTTCAATTCTCAGGATCACGTATAAAGAAATTAGAGGTCACGTATAACAAATTAGAATTAAAAAATAAGTAAATTTTTAAAAAAAGAAATTAAAGGCCCATCAACAACTAAAAACATATTTAATAAATAAATAAAAAGGGCAGGGGGTGTGGCTCAGTAGTTAAGCGTCCCTGGGTTTAATTACACACACACACACACACACACACACACACACACACACACACACACACACACACACACACACACACACACACACACACACACACACACACACACATCATCGTCTATGAAGGCTGGAGCCAGTGCCTGAGACAAGCCCGTCCTTCTCAGGGCTAATTTCCTTTCTCCAAGTCCTGCCCCTCTGTCCTCTCTCCATGTCCCTGGTGCCTATTCACTCACTTATGCAGAAAAGGGGGCACAAAACTGGAAACCGAGGATGGATGCCAGCTCTGCTCTGCCTGCTGTGTGTTCTTAGGTAAGTCCCTTCACCTCTCTGAGCCCCTGTTTCCTTTTGGTCTAGTTGGTGACGGTCAGGAGGGGCATCTGGCTCCAGTCTTAACACCTTCCCAGTTTCAGGGCTTCCACGCATCTCTTCTCCAACAGCCACGGGCTGCCAGCCACCCTAATCCCGAGCTTGGCGGCTCACAGAGGGTTAAAACCGGAGCCTCTGGGAACCTGGCGGCAGGGGAGCCCACACCTCAGAGGTGGAGACCAGTGTCCTCGGGAACTGCTGGAGTGACAAGCTCTTGTGTGCCTTTCCTTCTTCCCCTCACCTTCCCACCCCGTGGTCAGGGATCCCGGAGAGGGGACCGGCAGACAGAGGGGGCCTCGGTGCTCCTCCCCGCACCCCAGGGGCTGGGGGATCAGGGGAGGGGTCTCCCCACACGGGCCCCACACCAGGGGCACAGGCGAGAGAGGAAGGCTTCCCGCCTGCCTCCCTCCCTCCCTCCCTCCCTCCCTCTCAGGCAACGTGGAGAAAACTGGGTCAGGCAGCTCCCTCCTCCCGCTGGCTGGTGGGAGGGGGAGGGGGCCGCACTGCAGTCTCCCCCAGACCAGCAGGGCCCAGTTTGGAGAGAGGGTGGGACGCAGACACCCACGGACCCCCACACACCGGCATCCCAGACCCTTCTCCCGGCAGGGAATGGATTCCGCTCTAAGGAGCCTCTACCTTGGAGCAACCCGAATGAATGTCCACCACCGCGTCCTCCCCTGGGCACACCCTGACTTCAGGGACACTCTCCAGGTCCTTCTCTCCTCTAGGGAGCGCCACCCCATTAGTGGCTGATTCTCAACCAACCGGCCAAGGGGCGTGGAAAATCCAGAGAAAAGTCAAAAGTCAATTCCGTGGGATTCAGAAAGGACTCTAGAATCCCAGAGCTGTGGGTCTCCATTCTTTCTAGGCCCTTCTCTGTCCCCTGCCCCTCCTCTGCCTCCAGCCCACCTGCACGGCCTCACCTCCTGCCCCTGGCCACAGGTGACGCTGCAGAACACTTCTCAGGACCCACCAGGGGCTTGATGGAATCCAGCACACTCGCCCGGCCACAGCCCCAGTCCCCTGGAGACAGAGACCTTCAGCCACCGCAGTTGTCCCCTCTCCTGTTTCTTGCACCGTGCCAGAAGGCAGCTGACCCCCTGCCGGGCCTGCGTCCCCACTTGCAAAACACGAGGCCGGGACCCTGTGGTCTCCCAGGGCCCCGCAGAGAAGCAGCTCCAGACCCCTCCAGGCCTCAGTTTCCTCATCTGCAAGATGCCCACGGGCACCCCTCCTGGGCTTGCCAGACCGGGCACTTCTAGGGGGACCAAATGGGTCCTTCTCCTGCTCTGAGCAGCACAGATGCCTCCTAAGCCGCGCTGTCGACGGTGGAAGGCATTATGCGATTTCTTTTTCTCTCCAGCGCCGTCACCTTCCTCCATTCCATTTCGCTGAGACTAATACTTAAATTGATTTACATTCCCCGAGGACACAGCGCATGACAGTGAGGCTGGAGAATTCGGGGTGGCCAGGGGATGTCAGCCAGGATGCAAACACCTTGGAGATCACCCCAAAGTGGAGGATAGTCCACTCCCAAGAGCACTAAGGGGCCTGAGGCTGGGGCTTGGGGACATCTCTGCAGGGGCAGGGCCCTTCCCTGACCCACGGCTGCACAGCAGGGCCACTGTGAGCAGCCTGGTGCCAGGTGCTTGGCCAGCTGGTCCACCCTCACCTCTGCTGGACCCTGGGTGGGAACAGTCTCCTCCCTGGGTTCCAGTGCTCTCCCTAGCCTGCTGGGGTTCTGATCAGTCCAGGGACAATGCCAGGAAAACTCCTGATGTCCCAGGTCGGATCAAGCCCCAGGGCTCCGTCAGAGGCTGTCTCCCTTGGGTGTGTGACCCCTGCCCAGCTGCGGGCACTCTGCAGATGGCCGTGAACTCTGGCCTGGGATGATCCTCCCCACAGCCGCTCCTCTCCCCACCCGCCTTCTCCCAGACCTGCCACTTCTCCAACCTGCTCCTCTCCTGTCCTGGGCATGGGGACCTGGGAGAGTCTCCGCGGGGCTCTGGGGCTGGCAGCCTGTGATTTTGGGAAGTGCCGGCTCCTCCCCGGAGGGAGGGTTGAGGCCAAGAGCTGGGGCGCACCACCTGGCTCCCAGAGCCTGCTGTGGGCCTTCTCAGAATCCCCACCCCAACCCTGGGGAAATGTCAGCTCAGGCCATAGCACTGAGGGACCCCAGGCTCCAGGCTCCCCAATTCTGTCCTCTTCCCTACTCACCGAGCATCCCCAGCCACTCCCCCCCAGCCGGCCCTGCCCTGTCCTGGCACCTCACCTCTCCACTACTGCAGTGGTCCCTGCTCTCTGCTGGACCCGGCTTCCTAGAGGACGAGGACTACCTCTATGTGACAGTGTTCGTGCACATGCATCTCAGAGGGCACGAATGCCATCTGAGGGTCTCCTCGTGACATGTTCATGCACAGATGTCTCGTATGCTCGTGTGTCTACGTGTGTGGACGTGTCTGCCCCTGTGAACCGGCCGCATTGCTGCATGTGGGGGACTGTCCTGTGTGGGGTTGTCCCTGTGTGTGTCTGTGGCCAGGGTCCATGTGCGTGCGTGCTGCGGGGCCAGGCGGGATTCTGTGTGCTGTCTGCATGGGACAGTGGCTCTGTGGCCCCAGTGTGTAGACGAGCAGCGCTGGCTCTGGAGGTCTGTCCAGCCTGGACCAGAGCCCAGCACCAGCCCCCAGACCTCAGTTCCACAGCCCTGCGACAGTGCAGGTCCTGTGTCCCCTGGGCAGTGCTGTGTGGCACAGGGGACGGGGCCAGGGAAGCAGGACCCGCCGGCTCCGTGGGCTGGACCTGGACTGTCTAGTGGGGCTGAGGGGTGGGGGAGCCCTGGCTGCCCCCTCTCAGCTCTCCTTGTCCCTCCTCCCACCAGAAGTCACCTCCTGGATCCTTTTGGTCACACTCATACACCCCCACCTCCTAACTCGCCCCTACCCTCCTCCTCCAGGCCCCCGAGTGACAGGGCCACCCTGGCTTTGACCCAGCGAGACCCTGCCTCAGTCTCTTGCCCCCGCCCTCGCTCCACGGTCCTTACAAGGCGGCTCCTCCTGAGGCTGCCTCTCCTGTGCTGCAGCCACTGCTGTCCCCTCTCCCCACTCGCCAGCCCTTGCCCTGCTCCCAAGGCTCATTTGCAGCCCCTTATTCCTGCGTCCCCAGCGCCCCAACCTGTTCTCTGGTCCTTCTCAGTTCGTGGTCCCCAGATTCCGATGACATTCCCAGCCCCTTTTCCTTCAGCCCTCTGAACCTTGACCCCCATTCCTGT